GTTAGAAAATTGTAAATAAAATTTGAACTAGTAATCAGATTTTAATTAAATAAAAAAAATTAAATTTTATTTATAAAAAGGAATTGGTTTAAAAATTTTTTAAAATTCTCAATTTTATTAGATTATGTAATCATCACATAATTATAATATTAGCTAATTAAAAGTTAGAATTCAATATATTATATAAATTATTTATTTTATTTTATCATAAATGCTATCAGGTATATGATGATGAGATTTATATTTTTTAGCAGCAAATTCTGCCATTTTTCCAGTAATACCTTTTCTATAAATATCCATATACCACTATAATTTTTATGTATATTTATAAATTGTAATTAAAGAAACTGAATCTAAAGCTTTAGGAACTGTTTGTTGTAATCCTATCCATGTATAATTACAATATTCTCTTGTGTATTTTTTTGCTGCATCTCAATACATTTCTATATAATTTAACTCACAATAATATTTAGGGTAAAAAATGCATTTATGATCATGCTTTTCAATTTCTTCTTGAAGTTGAGATTTTTGTTCTAAGAAATCTGGCTGTAATGATAAAATTTGATATGTACAATAATCTACTCTATTCACATCTATAACTTTTGTTTTTCCATTATATAGTTGACAATCAGCTAATAAATTATTTTTCCATAAATCTCTTTCAATTAATATTTGTTTCATACATTTTGGTTGATTTGAATATTTTAAATGATCATGTAGAAAAACTATAGATTGAAAAGATTGATTTGGTCTATAATAAGTTGAACGCATATATGGTTATTTTCCTTTTAGATTCATATTCATTTTAAAAGCATTTAATCCATCTTTTGTCATTGCATCATGATTGATACTATTATTAAATGCAAAAATAGCTATTACATTAGAATATAATGTTTCAAAGATTAGAATTGCTAAATTTATTACTTAATCTAAAAGATGATCTGCAGTCTACCAACTCTCATCATTTTTACCCAGATGTAAATATTTTCTTGCTTTTTAGGAATATTTGGATAATTTATAACAAGTTCATCGGTAAGTTTAAGTCGTCCAATAGTTTTCAATAAAAATTTACTAACTATTATAGATTTGCCTTAACCTTTCTTTCTAAGCGATGGTTCACTTAATAGAACTCAAATAATTAGACAATTATCATTAGTATAAAAAAGACATTCATTATGTGTTACTAAAATATGTAACTATTCTTCATTTTTAAGTTCTAAAAGAATTATTTGCATTTTATCACCAATAAATGTTGGCATTAGTTTTTCAAATTCTGCCATAGTTTTTAAAAATTATTCCTGATATTGTAATATATCTTCATGTTCATGTTCATCAAAATATATATCTTTTTTTCAAGATTGAGGAATTAAACTCAACTTATGAAGCCATATTCTTGTTGTTTTTATTGATATTGACCTTATAATACCCATTTAAGGAAAAGTTTTGATATTATAAATTCTCTATACTATTGTGGTATTATTCTTCTGCTATTGGAATGAATATATATCAAACTACAATTAATAATATCTTCATTATCAATAAATGATTTTATTTTTTGATGATAATCTTGTAATGAAATAGGTAATGCATTATATTTAATCCAATAATCACCTAATTTATGAATTACTCTAGATCTATAAATTCCTTTACTATAAATTTTCTCCAATGCTTTCTCACTTGCCTTCATCCATGTTAATCTATCTTTTTCTAATATGTAAAATATGCATGTATAGACTGGTATCTTAGGTAATCATATACATTTTGCTTTTTATTATTATTCAAAATAATTTGTTCTAATTTTGTAATTTTTGATTAAAATCACAATCGTTATTGTTTTGAATATCATTATCTACACTTTCTTCTAATTCTTGATATAATGTTTCCATCAAATTCAAACTATTTATTTCAACATTCCAATTATCTAAAAAGCCTGTTTCTGAATCACCTTTAGCTAATAAATCATCATCTTTTATACCAGCTAATGAATCATCATCTCTTGCATCAACAAATGTATTATTATCATCTTTTGTACCAACTAATGCATTATTATTACTCTTTGTACTGACTAATACATTATTATCATCTTTTGCACTGATCAATGCATTATTATTGTCCTTTATACTGGCTAATATATTGTTGTTATCTTTTGCATCAGTAGACATATCATTATAATATATTATTAAATTGTTTAATTTAAATTAATATTTATAAATTAATTTTAATAACGATTTGAGTATTCAATAAAAAAAATATATATATATTTACCTGTTAAATCTACAACAAGTTTATCTTTAGCTAAGTCTTTCATTGGTTTAAAAAAATTAAAAAGAGAACTTGTTACCTTTGCCACTACAGTAAAACTTTCCTGTGGTCCATATTTTCGATAATGTGTTGTAATCGAATTGCTAATATATGGTGCTTTTTTTTGTTCAATCATTGCAGTATCAGTCCATACTAATTTAAATTCAGATAGGCATTGTATTCTTTGATCTAAAAATTCTTCAGAATCAGAATCACTATCTTCTGAATAAAAATCATCTGAGCCGCTTAATTCAAGGACAAAGTCATCATTGTTATCGTTATTATTCTTATATCATTTATTCAATTTAAATTTACCCATTTTATCACGTTTTTACTTTGCAACTCATTTTTTGGCTAATCTTGATGCATATGATAATGGCATAATGAATGAGAATAAACTTTTTCAAAATTTATTAAAATTTATTTGAAAATGTGTAAATTTAACAAAAAAAAAATGACAGCAAGCACTAAATTCATATTATACTGAGGGGAATAACTGGAATTTTGAAAATAAAGTTATATCCTGAGTTCATAATATTGATTTCAATCGAAATTTATCTTTTTTGAAGTATTACACAAATTGGAATATTCTCAATTTCAGCACTCATAATTAAATTAGTGTAACTTCATTATGCAAAAACTTTGTTTATCATGCATAAAATTTAAAATCTAATTGTAAAAATGATTAGATTTTGATTCAAACTTTCTAATTTATCAGTTAAAATTTTTATATCTTTATTATTGATAGAGTTATACATGTTTAAAGGTTGAAAATTCTTATTATAAGAATG